CATTATCATTTAATAATAAATTAATATCATTATAATTATGTTAAAGTTTTTATCTAGAAATATTACATTATAATTTATAGCATTAAGCATTTGTGTTATGCAAATTAATTAGAATTGTCTTCTTCTTCATCATCGTCATCTCCATCTCAATATTCTACGTTGATTTCATCGCTATCATCATATTTATTGATTTGTGTATGTCAGCTAGTTCTCAAAATATCATTTGACTTATCAATGTCAACAACAAAAATATTCACTAATATTTTATTGAATTAGATATTTCATAGTTAATAAAACCCTCAACCTCATTACAATAATTCATCTTATGCAACACTTCAAGTAAATCTCGATACACCCATGAATGATCATCCATTACATATATCAAATCTATATAGAATATTAACGACAACATATATTAATTGATTATGTGAATTAAATAAATTCACAAACATTGGCTTAATTCAAACTTATTCAATCTATTTTAATAGTATTATTAATTTATTATCAATTATCTACATAAATTTATATTTCTATAAATCTATCAAAAATCTCAACTTAACAATAAAATTGATAAAATATACAATGAACATGTTAAATAAATCATTGTTTGTTTTATCATAAAACACTTAAGTCACAAATTCGAAATGAATTTCATCAATTTACAAACAAATATAATTTTATAAAATCTCAAACAAACCCTAACATATACAAATGATATTTTGATACAACAAATTTCTAAGGGAAAAGGCTATAAAACAAGAAAACACAATCTTAAAAGTTACAACTTAAATACTATCGATGGTTTACAAACATATCTAATTGATTGATTAATATTGTTGTTAATACTATCTATATAAATGATATATCATTATATTTTTTCGCTTATTTTAATTTATTTATTTTTAATGTAATTCCATCGAAGCATATTTACATCAATGTTTATTAATGGATATAGTCTCTTAATGTTTTCATTTGTATTTATTAATTTTTTTATTATTACTTACAAATGAAAAATTTTCACATAATATAAATTAAAATATAATTTTTAAAAATTCAAAATTACTTCTAAAAGTATCAATTCATTTCATCAAATTAAATAAACTCATAAGCAATCAACTCATCAATGAGAGAAAAACCGTAAGTCCAAATTGAATACAATCCCAAGATCCCATTTAAATAGAAATTCAACAAACTAATAGCATAAAGTCATAAATGTTCTTACGATTCTATTCTACCAAACTTGAAAATGAAAAAAAAAATCATAGAATATTATTAAGCCTTGTTCACCAAATTTAGGCAAATCCATTAAATATATCATGCGATATTCCAGTTCCGAGTTGATTAGAACATTCATCCTTCTTTTCCTCATCGATCATTTATATTTATAGTATTGCATTCCTGTCTCTTCGTAACCCAATCTGTTGAAGTAAAAATATCACCCTTATAGTTTTTTTTTATTATTATTATTATTAATCGGACGTCATGACCCTAAGGTAGGAAACTTGTCCAGTACGAAAATGATTTTTTACTTGGCAAATACACTGGAGTCCATGTTAAAGTGTTAGTCTGAGTATTTGACAGTGATTGTGATTTAAAATAATTTTTTTATAAATATATTAGAATAATATATTTTTAAATTATTTTTAGTATTATTTTTAACATTAATAAATCAAAATAATTTAAAAATATTAAAGGTTTGATATTTTTTTACTAGGGTTCTCTCAATGTTAGGTCTAGTATGTAAGTGTACATATAATTGTGTGCACGATAAGTCAGTTATAGGATATTTAATGGATATTTTTTTTTATTAAGGGTATGTTTATTTTTAAATTTTTTATGTATTTATTTGTATTAAATAAGTTAGTTAATGAAAAATATTTTCCAATCAATTAAAAATATTTTTTTATCAAAGAAAAATATAATTTTATTTTTAGAAAAGTATTTTCTTTTTATTTTGGGAGGAAAACACTTTTCATAAGTTGTAAAAAATTAGAAATATTATATTATTTATTAATTATGTCAAATTCGATCCTTAAAGTTTTTGTTGGTACATATTTTTTTTTATTTTGTTTTCAATTTTATTTTTATATTAACTTTGGTTGTTTTTTTCATGATTATTATTTACTTTTCTGTAATTATTTTTTAAAATAAAATGTTTTTTCTATCAGATTTGGTCCTCATTCTTTTGATTGTTACTTATTTTATTTAAAATAACTTATAAATTTTTAATTATTATTATTATTTTAATTTCATCATCTTTCAATTTTTTTATTTGTCAAATTTGATTTTTATTATTTATTTTATTTGAGATAATTTATAAAATTAGATTTTTTTTTCAATTCCATTCTCATTCAACTTTTTAATGTGTAAGATTTATTCCTAATTATTTTAATAAACTTAAAAAAATATTAGAAAAATATTTTTCAGTTTATTTTTTATAACTTAATCAAACACTCTAAAGTGATTTCCAACTTATTTTTCATTATACTATTAAGTATGGAAAAATAATTTATTTTTCATGAATTCACTTTTTAAAAAAATCATTTTCTGAAAGAAAAATATTTTCCAGCAAATAAACGAGACTTTAAAATTTTCTTTTTTTATTTTTATTTTCTTTGTTTTTTTTCTCTAAAATATAGAGCTTGTTTTTTATTGTGATAATGATTATTTTTCAAAATATTTTTTGAAATATATTAAAATAATATTTTTTTATTTTTTAAAAATTATTTTTTACATCAATATATTAAAATAATTTAAAAATAAAAAAATAAAATTTTAAATTTAAATTTTTTTAAATTTTAAAAAAATATCTTGAAAATATATAAATAAAATAATAAGTAGGCAGCCTTGCACGCCCAATCCTGTTTTTCTATATTGGGACGCCGAGTGACTCGAGATTTGAGGATTGATGCTATAATTCAACATTGACAAGATTACATAGAGATAATTTAACATTGACAAGATTATATAGAGATAATTTATACAGACATACATTAGACATTGACAAGTTCATATAAAAATAATTTATACGTACATTCAATATTGACAAGATCATATAAAAATAATTTATCATTAACATATCCAAAAAGACAAAAAAATCCATTGCAATCCATACTGTTTCATAAAAAAAACCTATAGTATTCTTTCACATGTTTTAATTTTCCTTAATAATAATAATTAATAATTCGTGCTGTCAGATCATAAATTAAACGCAATAAAATGATGTATTGAATTATTAGACACCATTTCTTGTTTAGTGGCCCCAAGAAAATTCCCACGCAAGTTTTTATTGAGGGAGAGAATTCACTTTGTTGGTCGCATTTATCTATTTATATATGTCCTTGATCGGGATGAAAAGTCGCATTGATCATGCATTATTACTATTTTTTTTTAAAAAAAAAAAACAGGTAGCAGGGAACGGGAGCCTGGCCTTAATGTTAATGAATGGATTGATTATGCATAGACTTTGTGAAATTCTTTTCGTCTGTATTTTGTCTCTTCAAGTGGTTATCCATGCAGGTTGTTAATTTTATTTTGGTTGGCATTTGATTTTTTTCTGTTGAAACAATATATGTTTTAATTTTGAAGTGTTTATGTTTGGTTGTACTTTATTTTTTTATATTCAAAAAATATAATTAATTCAATCTCAAATATAGCAACAATTTCAATTTAAAATTTAAATAAAAAATAAAAATTGACATAACCTCATCAATTTAATAAGTTTAAAGATAATTTAAATGACTAATAAAAATATCATTTAATTAAAAAATTAAGATAATATTTAAAAAAAATATTAAAACAAAAACATATTATATCTATTTAAATCAATCTAAATTAATTTTTTAGAGTTTATTGAACAACCCTAGAAAACGCACTGGGCTCATCAAACACCCAATAATCATGTTATATATGGATAAATTTCAAGCACAGGCTATTATTATTATAATTGCTGAGGGAAAATTTCAAGTCAAAACATGAAGTAAATATTTTCAATTAAGTTGGTGCATACACACGAATAAAATGTTCGAAATGAAAGTTAATATGATAGAAATCTATTTACATAAATATTCTTTTTTGTCTACTGCACTGTGTAGGATTGCAACTGGACTCTGTTTTTTAAAATTTATAAATTTTTTTGAAAAAAAATTAAATTATTTTTTTTATATTTTTTCATTATTTTGATGTAGTTATTAAAAATATAAAAAAAATATTTTATATATTTTTAAATAAAAAATACACTCACCGCAAACACTCTCTATATAATTGAAGCTTGTATCGCAGAATTCACAGCTCAAAAATACTCAGATCATAATGGCATTACTCATATTCGTAATTCTCTTCCTCTCCATCATTTTCTTGTTTCTTCTCAAGAAAAACAAAATCTCTAAAAGAGCTTGTTTCCCTCCTGGCCCCAACGGTCTTCCCTTGATAGGTAACTTGCACCAGCTTGATAGCTCAA